CAGTAGAACGGTAACATAATAGGCTTTCTTCAGCAAAACATAAAATTGAACGCAAAAGTCCTTCCACAATATTGCACAGCCTTGTGCGTTTGGGTGCTCTCACCTATACAAAGTCCATCTGCTTCTGAGCAGCCACACACAGAACTTTCTGTCTCTCCGCTCCACACTCCCCTCTCTGTCTCTCACCCGTTGCCTTTTAACAGCAAGGGCTGTAAGGGAAGTATCTGCCCCTATATATACTGTAAATTTCACAACCGAAACGAAACCGAAAACTTTAAAAAATGTCAGGCCGAAACCGTAAATGTTTTTTATTTTAACTTTCTAAAAAAATGTAATATCTTATTTTTTGTAAACTTTTTAATTTTTGAATATTTATTTTTATTCATTTTTTATTAAATATTTGTATTTTTTACTTTACTTTTAGGAGCATCAGGGACATATGAGTGGTCTAGACAGACCCCTCATATTTCCCTTTTAAAATAGAAAAAGAGATTGAGAACACAGAGTCCTCAATATCTTTTTCTGTAGCCCCTGTCATAAATGAACAGGAATCCTCTATACTGAGTGTTCCTGTTCATTCATAACTTGAGAACATGGTATGTTTACTATAACCACAATCATGAATGAACAGTAGGTGATGCAGATTATCATAATTGAGGATATAATAAACATACTTTATCCGTCTCCTCCCACACTGACCGTCTCTTCCCACACTGCTCTCCACTGATCTGTGACAGGAAGCTGAGCGGTGTGGGAGGAGAGACTCTGGCCGCTTACAGCACTCTCCTCCCGCAGCGCTCGGCCGCCTGTGACAGTTTCTCTCCTCCCTGCTGGGACAAAAAGCAGTGCCTAGCGGGGAGGAGAGAAAGAATGGATGCACGGCTGTATCGGCCAGAAAATGGCACTTTCGGCATTATGTTAAAAGTGCCATTTTGGCCGATATGTTTGGACGTCCGATATATCGGTGCATTCCTAATATGTGTATATATATATAAATATATACTGTGTGTGTGTGTATATGTATATAGTTAGGCTTGTAAGATGTTGGCCATTTTTGCTGCACTGACGCAACAAAACACCCTAGCCGAACCAGCTGCCAGGCCAAGTGGGCCGTGCGGCAGTGTCACCAAAAGTCCCGCTCTGCGCAGTGGTCCGTATGGGTGCAGGTGTCCCGTCTTGGAAGCAGACAGGATCCATCCTGTCAGGGTACGAGTACCCGCACAGACGTGCAGGGTGGGTGAGCATAGGGTGGCATACGGCCACGTACTCAGGAGCTGCCTGATATGGCCGTGCGCGCAGCACGGGGCTGTGCGTGCCGGCTGTTTCTCATGTGAATGAGGCCTAAGAGACATCCTTTAAGGTAAGTCCCTACAGTAGGATTGGGAAGGGGGAAAAAAAGTTTAACTTTAATGTCACTTTAAGATGTGTGAGGCTAAAAGATACCTGCTACCACAAGGGAGCTGGTCCCATGTCCCCCAATTTTACAGGCGTCACCTGCAGATCCCAGACTGATCAAGACTTTGAATGCAAATCGCCTAAATGCTTTTCATTTTGATATACTGTATATTTGCATTGTGCATTTTTCAACCTTTAATAAAGCAGTCAGCATTGAGCACCCTGTATTTGGACTTCACTGCATTAATTATAGATATACATAAGGATCTTAAAGCAACTTACTGGCACAGCAATAGTTAACCTCCTCCCTCCTGTCAGCTCACACTCCGTGTCCTGTGATCTTCGTTCACAGTGCAGTGTCCTGCACACAGTCCCCCCCTGGCTCAGGCTGATGTCGGCTGGTGATGGGGGCGGGGCAGCCCTACTCTGTGTTCAGCCTGGCCGCTCTGTGCTCTTTCATCACTCGAGCTGTCAGAGCTGGCCATCGGACTTAGTGGGCTGAGCCGAGCCGGCCCGAACACAATCAGGGAGATTGTGTTCGTACGGGCAAGTGCCCGGTATGCCCTATTAAAAAAAGGTTGGGTAAAACAAGTAATTTACGTTTTGGATTCGGCCTGCGAATTTTTTACTTTCGGTTTTGGTCTAAAAATGTCATTTTGGTGCATTCCTACCATAAATGTTATGTTTGGAGAGGAGTCACCAAGGCCTTTGAAAAAAAGCACAACAACCTTCTTGTGCAGCAAGCATGGAGGTGCATCTGTACTGTTTTGGCTACAACGGCAGAGACAGTTTAGTCAAAATTGATGGCAAGATGAAAGCAGAATATAATCAGAAAATGTTGGAGTTACAGTATTAAACTCTCAAACTTTTTGTTCAATAATGAATCCAGAGCAAACAAATATACATTGCCCAGCAAAGCATTGTTTTACATTTTCTCCCAAACACATACAATTCTCATGTTTCTAAACAGCTGTTTCCAAGGACCTGGAGGATTTTTTGCCAAGGGTGGGCAGCTTTACCATATGAGGAAGGGGCCTTATTCACAACTATCACTAAAGGCTGCAAGCTCTTATTGATGCTTATGTAGCAATACACAATATTAAGAATAATGGATATGCAAACTCTTGAACAGGACTATTTTAATATTTCCCTTCAATGCTATGGCTTGTTTTAGGATTGTACTATTCTGTGCGGTTAAATCTTTCAAATCTTTTAAATAAATATATATATATTTTTTAAATTTATTTTAATGTAAACACACACACACACACACTAAACACAAAACACAATAAACTCCCTTCCAGCAAATACACTTTTTGATTAAATATTTGTAAAAATCTTCTGTGTTAGTGTAACCAATTAACCATCCATTTTCTTTCAATCCTTTTCAGACCAATAACCACACTGGTATTCAGCCTGGTGTTTCAGAAGCCAGGGAACGCCTTAACATGCACACATGGCTGCGATGTCGTCTTGCCCTTGTCACAAGTCTTGTAAAGCAGATTCGGGGCTTAGCAATAAAAGGTACAGTACTGCCTACAGTAGTTAACTCTCTCAGATTCAGGTTCTCCTTTAAAGAGAAAACTATTTAGCAGCCATTTGAATTCTTCAATTATTTAACGGTATGTAATACATTTAACATACGTATTTATTATATGTTGATTCATTGATAGTCTTAACAAGACAGTTTACAGTATTTGCTTTTAAACATACAGGCATATTATGTAGATTAGTAATTCGACTGCTTGCATCTGCAGCTCCAAAAGTTGGTCCATAATTACTCTGTTAACAAAATTTTTTATATGCTTATAGAAAATCTGCGGCTCAGGACTGGTACTGTCTGGTTCTGGAACTTTATTCGGATTTCACAGGTTGTGAACCATTGGTTTTGATTTTTCTGATACCTACTTTCTGTAGAAAATGCTTACCTCTCTCCTAATGGCAATGCTGAGACTCTCAAATTGTGCATTGCTGAAACATGCAGTCACAATGTATTGTAACAGAAATAGTAAAAATTGACCTAGCATATTTCTTCATGTTAAGTACACTTACAGTTATTTATTACTTCTCACCGAGAGCACAGTACTTAGCCTTAACAATGCCTTCATTTTGCATTTTCTCTTCAGAAGGATGAGTCTTTTTGTTCAGGCATTATCCATGTACAGCATTCACTTCTTACACTGAGATGTTGGCTGTTAGGTATAGCTGACAATTCTGTATAGGGAGATACTGTGCTATACTGTAAATTCAACAGTCCTTTTTTTTTTTCTTTCTTTTTTCTGTACGAGCAACAAGCGTACCCGCAAGCCTACCACCCCCCTTCCCTTTTTCCTTGCAGTGATTTGTGTCTTTTGTAATTTTTATTGAGACCTTTTTTTCTTTCATTCATTGTCATTGTTTATTTATTTTATTTTCTGCCAAGGATAAAAAAAACACTATGCCACAAGCTTATTTGATAAAACGCAACTGTCTAGGCAGTAGGTAAACTCCATCCACCCATTTGCCCTGGACCCAAAGGGGGTGTTTGTCACATTATCAATCCCTATGTTTAAACCTTTGAGTTTGATCAGCAGCTTTCAAACAGTGTGCTTTAAGGACGCTGCATTTTTCTGACTAGGACCAGCCTGATGCTCAAACTTGAAAGAGAAATCTTGGAGAGCCAGGAACCAGTGGGTGACCCTTGGTTTTCTTTCTGTGGCCTGGGTCATTCATTGTAGAGGAGCATGGTCTGTTATCAGTCTAAAGCGACAGCCCAGTAGATAAAGCCTCCAGTGCCCATATAATAGCTAAACACTCTCGCTCTACACTGCTATACTTCCTATTGACTGTAGTCAGCTTTCATTTCAAATAAACCACTGGATGCTCTTCTCCACTCATCACTTGCCACAAAAAAGCCCCCTAGCCTACACTGGCAGCATCAGTCTAGAATAAGAACTCTGTCTGAATGTCTGGTGCTACTATCATCAGCTCTTGACAAAGGGTCTTTTTCAGACTGTGAAAAGCTTTTTTTGCATTGGGAATCAAGTTACTCAATATAGCATTTTTCCATTTGGTCAGATTGGTCAAAGATGATGTTATGGTGGCCAAATTCATAATGAACTGTCTATTGATAGTACATTATCTAACCAGTACTTTATTGTAGTATCTTTCAATGCCCAGGAAGGTTATAACCTGCATCCTGCTCACAGGAATGGACCAGTCCCTAATTGCTCTCACCTTCTCTATTTGGGGTTTTATCAGGCCTTCCCAATGGTTTACAAAGGTATTGTACCTCATCCAGACCTGTGGCTCATTTTTGTGGATTTGTTGTTAAGCCTGCTTCTCACATTGAGTTCTGGATGGCAGGTGCCCTGAGGAGATGACTCTCCCAATCAATGCTAAAGGCTGCTACATCATCAAGTAGGCGGCTGCAAAAATGCAGCCTAAGGATTTTACCCATCATTCACTGAAATCTTGCAGGAGTTCCCTGTAGACCAATTGGCGTTTGAATTTGCTTAAGAGAACTTTTTAGGGTAGCAAATGCTGTATTTTCTTTTGCTCTCTCCATTAGTGGCACCTGCCAATATTCTCTAGTAAGGTAAAGGGTGGTTAGGAATCTAGTTAGATCCAACCTCTCAAAGAGTTTGTCAACCTTTGGCATGGGGTAAGCATCAAACTTTAATGCCTCATTCAATTTTCTGAAGTTGTTGCAGAATCCTAACCTTTTCACTGTCAGAGCAATATTTTTAATATTTTGCACACATATAAAGGCAAAGTCTGCCTTTTACAAAAATTAATAAATGCATACACATTCACATAAAAGAAATATGAACATTTATTGTTTTTTGGGGGTTTTTTTTGCATTGGAGCCTGTAAAGCATTGCAACTGCCATCCGTGTATCGTGAAAACTTGCAGAGTCTTCCTACCAACCATTTTCTGTACCAAGGTACAGACTTTTAGCTATTGGATGGGAGGAAATGTGGATGATTTCCTTAGTCATACCTTAATCATTAGTAATTTTTACAATTGACAAGAATTGTCTGCTTCTTGGAGCTCATTGGCCATTCTAGAGTAAACTGTGTTCTGATTAGATTTGGCTCCCTTGGAAAGTAGTGTGGTTGGTACTGTTAGGAAAACAAGGTGAAGTAGGAGGGAACAGGGTGGAGAAACACATCCTGCTGAAATTATTAAGGTTTTGTGAATAGTGCAAAAATCACAGGTTGCTTGTAGACATGGCAAAGAGCATGACAGTAAATGACTGATGTTTGGAAACACTCCGTTAACTGTTAGCTCTGATAGCATTTAAAACAAATGTCAAACAACGCTGCCTGTGAATGGAAAGCCTACATTTCTATAGTGTATTTTTTTCTTTCCTGCTTTTCCAACCTTGTTATCTGAAATTCTTATAATCTTCCCTTTTATATCAATATTCTTCTGGGAATTAATTCTCCAGAGCTAACACAGGATACAGTGGCAAATGTTGACATCTCTGTCGCTTACTGATTCCACACATGATCTGTATTAGGGTCTTTCTTTCTAAGTATACCTTGCTTTGACAAGCCTACTAGAAAGTAGGACATTTTATACATGTGCTGCAATTAGTAATGTGTAATGGAAAACTATGCCTTCATTCTACAGGAGTATTCTTTTTAACCGTACAGCTGGCTGAATTTTCCTGTCTGGTTATTTGTTGAATGATCAAATTTAACCTCCTCTCTCCCCTTCTATGCTTGACAGTTCTGTGCCATTAATGTTACACTTTACTGACAGTATCCAAGTGTACTGACAGATGTATTGTTTTCAAAACAAGATTGCCGTTATGGGAAAATAACATTTTTATTCATCTGTTCTAGATCAAGACATGCTTGATGGCTCAGCTCTAATAACTGAGGGCATTGTAGAGTCGGAAACACTCAATGACTATGAGATTCAGGCTCAGTTTATGCTACAAGCAGCTTTCCTTGATATTCAAGAGAGGCATCCCAAACGAGGTGTTCAGCTTCTTCTGCAGGTACATTCTGTAATACTTTATGCCTATTATTATATTATTTTAAGGGAATTGTAATATCTCAAGCCTGGGTCTGATCTGTGCCTAGGATAACACTTATAACCATTTAATACGTTATCTTGTGTTTATTCAACCAAATCCTCAATTAGGCTGAGTTCACATCTAGCCAATAACCCTATAGCATTTTGCACATTTCTACATGTGTTTTTTGTGCGATTTTTGCGTTTTTACGTGCAGTTTATGCGCATCAATCAAGTTGCACGTTTTTGTGAGCAGATTCTAGCTCATCGATGTTAATGGCAGTAGCACATTTCCTATTGAGTCTATGGGGCCAAACCGAGCTGTAATAGGCCAAAATGAAGCTTATGTAATTTTTCCAGGGACAGGTGTTTTGCTTATTGCGACAAAACGTTCAGATGTGAACAGGGCCATAGAAATTAATGGGATTTTTTTTTTTGGGGGGGGGGG